GCCTCCCGTCGCCTGCCGCTGTGCAAGTGGCCCCTGCAGCCGCGCAGTGATTAGACACTGGATGTACTTGTCCTCCACCGACGTGTGCAGCGTGCACTCGAACTGATGCAGAAGAACATCCCCATGATCAGCGCCACCGTGTTCCCTTTCTTTTCCTCGTTTTCACCCTCCCCTTGTCTATTGGCAGCCCCGCAAGGGCCCGTTGAGTGGGATGTCACGCCTTGCCTCGCGCGGGGGCGTCCCAATTAAGGCGCCCAAGAACCATTGATTAGCCACGCCTCACTCTGGGCCGTCACGGTTGTCTGTCGGTGACGGGATTGATGTGCAGTGCTGTGTGTGTGTGTGTGTGTGTGTGTCTTCAGCTTTCATTGACCCCGCTCCTTCTTTGCTTGTTGTGTTGTTACGACTGTATCAAATCGTATTGTATTTTTTTTGTTTCTTTTTGTTTTTGTTTAGTGCCTTGCGGTCCACCGGGAAAGCAGCGGTGCAGAAGGGTGTGTGGGCCGCGCCGGTGATGAGTGAGTTGGGTGATATCCTGAACACGGCGCAGGTTGCGAAGCACTATGAAGCCATTCAGTTCCTGTCCTCTCATGCAAATGTGGAGTACACGCTGGCACAGCTGGATTTCTTGATTCCTCGTGGCGCCTCACTGCAGCGCTTTCCTGATGCGTGGCGGGAGTACATGGAGGCGGGACACTGCGGCAATCACTGCATTGAGGTCTACCACCGTCCCATTGATGCCCCGGGATGTAGTGCAGCCGGTGACACGGCAGCCATTGGGATGGAGGCCAAAACGGAACTTGTTCTTGTATGCCGACGGCCGGAGGTGCACAGTCTTGAAGAGCTCGCACGGTTGTTGCAGTCTCCTGCCATGCTACCGGACACTGATGGATGCGTGGCACTTCACACGGACCAAGTAATTCTACAAGAAAGACTTTTGAAGGAGTCGCAACAAAGGGGCCTACTCTACTACTTTCCCGATAATTATATTAAAGCTCGTGAACACCGATTGGTCAAAGGGAAATTAGGGTTCTTCAGCGAAGGCGAAGCATTGGATGCGTTTTTGCGCAGCGATGAATCCGATGCGGTTTTGGGCGCTGACGGGCCAATGGGGCGGTTGGAACTTCCTGCAGGGGTGGTGGCTCAGTCGATGTTGTACACACGTCGTGGAGTGCCTGTGCGAAGCAAGAACAGCATTCCAACTCGTCTCAACGTGGGCGAACGTGCCTTGGTAGTGGTTGAGCGGGCGGCGTCTTCGAATCATTACTCCTCCACGCCTGTGAATCCCCCGGCGTTGAGAGTCTCACTGGGTCTCGCCACGGGGAACACAGGCGGTGTTGCGCCACTTGATGTGCGCGTTAAGGTGTCGCAGAGTTTGGGTGGGACGCCGCGGAGTTTCATGGATATTCGGGCGCAGGCAAAGGGCAAGGTGACGGCGTCCCTGTTTGTGGATGACCTGGAAACGATCGTACCCGTGGAGGTTGTGGACGAGGTGGTGTCCATGCCGGGGGTGATGATTAGGCGGGAGGCGCTTCCTGCGTTTCCCGTCCCCGAGGAAATTTGCATCAATGACCCTGCACTCTGGAGCGGCGGGGTTCTCGATGAGGACTCCAAGTGCGTGGGGCCGAAGAGACTGGGGAATGGTGTGGCGGGCACGGCGCTCTCGTGGTGGCTAAATCCCTCCACCGCGGTGCTTAGGGTGCGAGATATCACCATTCCGGATAGCGAGGTTATGGCTGCTGCTTCACGCACCGTGTGGATTCCGCATCAGACAGATGAGGCAGCATTGCGGATTGTAAGAAAAACACTGCGGGAACAGCATGCTGCGGAGAAGGCACGATGGAGTCGGCGGAAGCGCAACCGAACCCGTGAGTTACGGAATTGCCACATGCTTCACTTTGGCTTTGACGCCTTGGTGCCTTTTGGTGGCGGCGTGCAGGACCACTAAGTGTAGGAATGAGGCTGTGCCTTTGTGTGTGGCCGCAGTCTCCATCATGCTGAGAGGCGGGGAAGGGGGGGGTGTCGGGCGCTCTCAAGCGTGTGTTCCTCAGTTTTTTTTTTTTTTTGTTCATACGGAGTGCCGTTGCTCATTTTCCGCCCCTGTCTCTCGTCCTTGCCCGCTCTATCTCTCTCTCTCCCTCTATCTATATCTATCTGCGGGTATTTGCCTTGACGGACGCGGGACCGCAACGCAGGCCAAAGCAAAACTATTGGGGCGGCAACAGACAACATCGCAAGGAGACAGAAATCGTGTGCCCGTGGAATGCCATGCCGCAGGCCACCCACACCGGGAGTGGACGGCTGATGGGGTCACGCCTGCCACTCGGCGCCTACCGCCGCGTTTCCCGTGAACCCGCAACTCAACTTAAGAAATTGGCGGGGACCGACAAGAAACGCGTTTCTGCTGTTTGGGAAACGGTGTCGTCGTGGGAGGGAAGTGAGGGAACAAGCTGCAACTCATCGGCGTCAGGCGTCAGTGGTGCTTCGCCAGACGTGTTGGGCGCCTGCTACCGACATCTTCAGCTTCGCATGGAAGGTATCCGGCGGATTAACCTTCTTCATCAAGGCCCTCCTCCGCTGGTGGCAGCAGGAGCGGCTGCAGCGAAAAACGGAGAAACGGGTACAAGCGTGGGAAATGTCCTAAGCGGACAGGCAAGTGTCTCTCTCGTGGATGCAGAACGGGATGGGGAGGATATACTTCTCTCCAGCCACGTCGCTGTAACCACCCCATCACGGATGCTGCAAGGACTTCAGGCCGTCGGAACGCGCCCGCGTGAACGCAGGTGTAGGGTGCAGCGTCTTGCGCCAGCGGAGTGGTCGGAGTTGCTGCAATTAGGGGATAATGAAGCAATCGAACTGTAATTCCTCACTCCCCGCCCCCCAGCCCTAACATCTCCCACGTCGTTCCTCTCTTTTCCATGATACCTGCCGCGTGTGCGTACGCCTGTCGTATTGATGAGTGTCGGCCCTTGTGCCGATTACGCCGCCGCATATTTCTTTATGGCGGCGGTGCAGAGGTTTTTGGGCTGCGACATTATGGGTAGGTGCATGTTGCTGTTTTTTTGTTTTCCTTTTGTTACTCTTTCTCTCTCTCTCCATTTCAATTTATTTTTCCTGCTCGCTCACAATTCACCAAAATCGCAGTACGCCTATAGATTTCATCCTCATAGAAGGACGAAGGGCCTTTTCATCCTCCTCCTCCTGCAACCAGTACTACCCCAGCCGACTGGTGTTATCTCTCAGAGAAGGCCGCACCACAATCTCTTTTTTTCCCTCTCTCACTCTGTGCCTCATTCCCCTCTTTTCTAATTACAGTTTGTACGATGAGTGCCTCACGGTGTTCGTATGAACAGGATCTGCCGAGCAATCTTCTTGAGCTCATTGATCACACAACACGAGGGGTGCAGCGTCTGTACGAGACGACGCGGCGCAGGGAGGGCTTAGGTGGCTCGCGTGAGCGGCGGAGACCGCCAGTAGACGGACTTGCAGACGCACGCTACATGACTTACGCAGAGACGTTTGAAGACGCGGAGCACGCGGGCGCCACTGCTGCCGCCATTCCCGCCATTGAAACAGCGAGGGCGGCAGCAACGGCATCATCATCGGCGGCGTTGCGGCAGACGGCAGCGGTGCACGAGCGGGGGTCGCTGCATCACGGCAATCAGCGCCACCGTCGCCCAGACTGCAGTCAAGATAGGAGTGCGACTAGCAACGAGACAAACGGCAGACGGCAGTGGCCGTGGAGTCGTGTGCAGACGCTACAGACAAGTGCGGTTGCGGAGGGGCGCTCTGGCGCCTCCACGATGAACACGACGTTATCGTCCGACGCCTCGCATCGACTGCTTTCCGCTCACCGACCACATCAGCAGCAGCAAGTTGCAACAGGCGACCACCATCCCTCGATGGCAAGCACCGTGAACACGTCTACCTCCGCGGCGGCCGACAACAGCTACGCCCAGGTTGGCGGACAAAGTTGGAAAGACACCTTTAAGTCGCTTCTCTCCACTGCAGTGGCACCTGCGGCCACTGCCTCCCCTGCCGTGTCAGCTGCTCAGATATCTGCCAACAAACGAGCGCCGGTGCCAAATGTCCCCCGTGAGCCCTTCCTGTCGGCGGAGTCCACGGAAACTAGGCGACAGCAGGAGGAGACCCCGACGTCTGCACCGGCACAAAGTGGCCCGGCGCTGGAGCGCTTGCGGTGCCAGTTGGAGGAACAGGAAAAGTCTCACCGTGAGCAGCTGTCGCATCTCCGCATGGAGCACAGTCGTGAGCTTTCCCAGCTCCGTCACGACGCCTTTCAGGCACGACAGAAGGCGGAAGAGGAAGTGGCGGCGCAGCTTCAGGCATCCTTCACAGTGAAGCAGAAGTTGCTTCAGGCCGCCGTGGAGAACGAGCGGATTCAGGCGGAGGAGGCGCGAAAGACAATAGGAGAAAAAGATGGAATCATTGAACGACTGCAGGCGGAAGTTGAGGCTGCTGCCTCCCGCACCCAATCGACGCAGGGCGAAGTGGATGCAAAGAAGAAGCAGGTGGCACAGCTGCGTGAGTCCTTGACAAGCACCCGCAAGCAGCTGGCGGAGCTGGAAGAGGAGGTGGTGAAGCGCAAAGAAGACCTGGTAGAGAGTAAGCGGCGGGAGAAACTGATGGCGGGCCGTGAGCAAGATGCGTTGGGTGTGGTGAGCCGGCTAGAATTACAGCTGCGCGAACAGGACCAGCGATCACGGGAGGAGCTTCGCCGGCTGGAGGCGGAGTTTCACTCAACTACGAAGAGCTACCAGGACCTGCTTGGTGAGGCAACTGAGAAGCTAACGGCGCTGGAGAAGGTGCAGCGAAAATACAACACACTGAAGGAGCAGCGTCGACAGCAGAAACAGCAGCAAGAGGAGTTGACGTCCAAGGTGACTGCAGCGCAGGAGGAGAAGCGGGAGGCCGTCGAGCGTGCAGAAACCCTCCAGCAGGAGTTGGAGCACCTCCGCCTTCAGATTGCGCGGAAGGAACACGAAATGCGTGAGGAACGTGCGGGGCATCATAGAATTGTCGAGGGCATCACACAGCAACTTCAAGAGGAGGAAACGAAGGCCATGCGTGAGACGGAGGCGCTGCAAAAGGCTTTGCATCATGCGGAGGACCGTTTTGCGCGCCTGGAACGTGAGGTGGAGGGTCTGCGCGCTCAACTGAAGGAGGAACAGGAGCATAGTAAGCAGCAGCTGTTACAACTGGAGCAGAGCGCCCTGCGGCACCAGGAGGATCTTGCCACTACACGGCGTGCAGCATCTGCACATCAGCAGCAGACGGAAAGTGTGCTCGCCAGCTTGAAAAGACAGCTGCGGGAAAAGGATGTGAAGCTGGAGGCGCTTGCAACCACGGCCTCGGAGCCGGTTCAGCGACTGCGAAGTCAGCTTGAGGACGAGCGCAGCAAGCGGGCTCACCTCGAGGAGCAGTTCAACCGCTACAAACAAAGGGCGAAGGTGGCTAAAGAAGCCGCGCTACGCGAGGTGCGACGAGAGCAGCAGCGCATGTCATCCGTCCCGCGTTCGCAGAGCCGGCCATCGGTGACGCTGCCCGAAGCATTGCCTCCGTCGTGCGGAGGCAAAGTGTCGCATGGGGATGAGCCCATGCCGTTACAGGAATCTGACACAATAACCCCGAAATATCAACGTGTGCCAAAACCTGTTGCTCCGCTCCCCCCACACTCAGTTAATCGCTCAAGGGATAGGAGTACCGTCAGCCCCCCGCGGTCACGGGTCTCCCCGGCAGGATGGGACTCCGTAGAATCCATCTCTAACATCTCTCGAAGCTCGCCCCTGTGTAGCAGCCACAGTGGAGTTATAGAGACTGTGCCATCCCCAGTTAGAGGCATTGAAAAACGCCACGATGTTACGCAGCAAACGGCACTCATCTCCTCTCAGTCGCCCCAGCTTGATAATGTGGATGATAAAATCGTGCAGCACGAGCAGGTTCTTCGTGAGTTTCATCAATCCGCGGCGGAGGTGTTCCGTAAAATCACAGGAAATCGAGACGAATTTCTGGCAAAATGCACCTCTGTGGTGCGTTCTGTATCGTACTGTGGTGGGGATGAGGGGTGTTCCGCTGCCAGTACAACCCTAAATGGGTTGATGCATCGATGAATAAACTGTACTTGTTCCAACGGATGCTGGGGGAGAGGCGAGAGTTTGGAGAGGAACTCCGCCTATGCAGCTATCCTACATGGTACTAGCTGAGAGTATTTGCACTTGGCAGCTGCTCACCGAACGCAGTTATTTTGTAAGCCGCATGGAGTTATTGCACGGAGCATACAATTGCGTTGGCCGCTCCTTGAAGATGCGCCTGTGTGTGGGCGTGTGGTGGGTGTTGGATGTTGTTTGTACCGGTCATATATACATATATATATATATATATACCTTTGTATGTGTGTTTGTACTTATATGTTAAAGGAAGTAAAAAAGGGAAAATGACGAACGTCCTTCCTTGTCGTATTGCTCTTCTTAGACACCGAAAGACAGGGGTGTATTCGTTTTTTCTCCTTCTTGTGTGTGGCTGAGATTTGCGTCTCTTTAGACAAATCGGCTCTTTGCCGTCCACTTGGGGTAGGGGAGGGGGGACGTCTGGTGTGCATGTCTTGTGGGGTGTGGCCACTGCCAGCATCGCTGCAGCGTTCCTTTTGTTTTTCCTGACTTTTCTCTTTTATTATTATTGCCACTACGAATATGAATATAATCATTGCGCAGATCTTTGTTGCCTTGGCGGTACCGTGACTATTAAGGCGCGTGCGTGGAGGGTGCGGTGTCTCATTCCTCTGACGTAGACTGCGGCAGAGCGGTTGCGTGGCCAGTGGTGATACACGGCAAATCCCCAGGCGGAAGAAGCGGTAGTTGTAGGGGTGGGCACATGTTGGGTGGAGCGAAACAGCGGAACCAGGAGCGGCACGAGAGGTCCGCGAAGAAAACGACCACCGACGCTGCTGCGGCGAAGCCGGCGAGGAAAAACAACAAGCCGGGCACTGCGCCAAGGATGAAGGGCCACAATGGAAGCACGCTGACAGGCCCCGTCGTGGCCCACGCGGGCGGGAGTGCCGGCCGTGACTCGGCAAACGATCGTCAGCAGATTCCGTTTAGAAGCAAAATGGAGGAGCGGGCGTACAAAAAGGCCAAGCGCATCCCGCGCTACGCCCCTGGTCCGGGGGGAGACAACAGCAACAGCAGTGTTGTGGGCAAGCGGCCAAGTGGCGCCAGCAGCGCCGCCCAGCGTCGCGCCATACTGAAGGCAAAAGGCGATGACGCCATCTTGGAACACTTCCGCACAAAACTGTCGTCAAGTACGTTTCGGTTGTTAAATGAGCAAATCTACAACTCCACGGTGGCCTTTGCCAGTCAACTGTTGCGCGACCCATCCACGTATGCGGACTACCACAATGGCTACCGTCAGCAACTGGAACAATGGCCATTAAAACCAAATCAAGTTATTGTGGAGGCTCTGTTGGGGGATCGCCGTGGTCGTTTCCTCGCGAATAAAGCTAAAAGCATGCCGGGGTATATCCCCACAAGTTGGGTGATCGCAGACATGGGGTGCGGAGATGCGCAGATAGCGCAGGCGATGCGACCGAAAGGGTATACCGTCTACTCCTTTGACTTTTGTGCCGTGAATGAGTATGTGACGGTGGCCAATGCCACCAATGTGCCTTTGGATGACAATTCCGTTGACATCTGCATTTTCTCACTCAGCCTCATGTCGACAGACTACGTAGAGTGCCTTTATGAGGCCTTCCGGGTGTTGAAGCCCAAGCGTCTTTTAAAGATTGTCGAGGTGCGTTCCCGCATACCACACCCAAGACGGTTCTCCGAACTGGTGGAAAATATTGGTTTTGACCTCGACTACCACGACACGGTAGGGGACTACTTTGTAGCGTATGACTTCCTCAAGCGTGAGGGTCAGGCCAAGGCCAATCGGGGTGTGAGGTACGACCCACAGGAAGTGCTGGTGGCATCCCTCTACAAGAAGCGATGAAATGAATGCAGATGCTTGTTGCTCTTTCGTGTGTCTCTGTGTTTGTGGAGGGTATGGGGGAGCGGGCGTGACGGCCGCTAACTGACACAGAAACAAACGGAAGAAACATCAACAAGGAACTCCAGTGTCGGTTAAAATTGTTCCGGTAAACACACACGCATAAACATGCAAACGAATAGGTTGAAGGTAAAATAATAATAATGAGAGAGAGAGAGAGAGAAATGGGGACCGTGTGCGTGGGAGAGTGTGTGGCATTTTGCGGGTGAACACCGCGGAGTTGCTTTGAACGAGTGGAAGCTTTATGTAAGGCTGTGTATGGGTGCCCCTGGCCCTGTTGTCTTGGCTGCATTTTACCATAACTAATTCACCAATTAGTATTGCTCAGACCTGCGTATTTTACCTTTCTCTAAGTGGCAGACCTTTGCGCGTTTCAATGAAGTACGCCACAGTGATGCCAGTATCTCTGCTATTGATGGCAAACGACCCCTTCTGGTTCTTTCCCTTGCATCTACGCCTCTCTCTCTCTCTCTCTCCTATCTTCCG